TAAAATAAAAAGTAGAACACAATCAAAATAATGAGGTTTTCTAAAAAAGAATGAATTATTAACATTGGTATTAACCTTTAAGAAGAAAAAATAAAAGAAAAACTAAACAAAATCAAAATAATAAGGTTTTTTAAGGAACAATAAATTAGTGTCATTCGTATTACCCTTTAAGAAGACAAATAATAATAAATGAATTAAAATAAAGAAGAATGAATTAGTAGGTTTATTATTACCCACTAAAAAATAACAATAAAAGTTTGCAAAACTTGCACACAGCTTCGCTTTAAATTACAGTTTTTTAGTACGCATATAGTGTAATAATTGCACATATTGCAAATTATTTATGTCTGTACATTACACTGACTTAACATCCAAAAAATAAAAATAAAACCAACTAACAAAGAGAAACAGAAAAACAAAAGCAAAAGCACATAAAAACAAAAAATATCAAAGAAACGAAGGGAGAGAGAGGAGGGCTGGAGCGCACAGTTAATGGGCTTCGGCCCATAAGGAAATCGACTGACCCAAATAAGGGGTCAGTCAGAAAAAATCAAGCCCACACAACAAACAACACAGGTCAGGAAAAAAACGTAGCACCAATCTCAGAGAAAATCCAATGGCCACAAAATTGATTGACCCAAAAGTAAAATTTCAGCTGACTGAAATGTAGCTAAAGTGAAATACCTTTGCCGAGTCCCACACCACCCTTAGGCTTTGTTCGGTTAACCCTCTCCCAAAGAGGATGGGAGGGGATTGGCAAGAATTGGTTCGTATTTTGACTTAGAAGAGGTTTAAATCCCCCTCAAACCCCTTGAATCCACTCGGATTCACACGCAACCGAACAAGGCCTTATGTGTGTTGTCATCTACTCCCTCCGTTCCAAAATAGATGACTCAACTTTGTATTAACTTTTTACAAAAGTTAGTATAAAGTTGAGTCATCTATTTTGAAACGGAGTGAGTATGTGATTAGGTGAGATTTGAGATAATGGATCAGTGAGTTCAAGACTGGAGTGTAACAATGAAGATGATTTAGCCTAAGTCTCTGCTCAGAGTAGGTACCCAACTCACTCTCTTCTTACTTGCAGCTTATCTCGGGTTTTTTTTTCTCTCCTATTTTTTTAATAGAATAATGATCAATGGAAAAAAGAAAAAAAAATCCTTTAGCTAGATAAGGGGCGTGTGTACTTAGGTGTATATCTTGTGTTGTGTTTGTGTATTTCATACCTCCTTCTATGGGAGCTACTACAGATTAGATACCTGATTGTTACCCAAATTTGTAGTTAAAGATGTATCCTTTTTGGCATGGATGTGAATAACTTAATTCAGAGATATTTTGCTTGAAGCCAGGTTCTATAGTTGGACAATAATATTTGTTGGCTGAGATGAAGATGATTTGTTCAGGAAAACACCTCAATATTAAGTCAACATTTCTTGTATCTGGTTGTAGAACATAGGTAAAACTCTTCGAATTTGTAGGCCCCAGAAAATGGTGCATGGATCCTTGACCCATTTGAACAGGGCGAATTTTCATGAATTAGTTCAGAGTTTGTAAAAGTAGTTTACACCGGAAACACAAGCTAAAGTTTTGGTGTTGTATTTCAAAAACACCTCAATATTAAGGAGGTGTTACCTCCTAAACCTCGTGTATGTGTGCTAAGTATGTTTCTGGTACACAGGCTAACATTCGTCGGTGTATCACTCCATAGGTTCCATGTCATTATGTTCAACCCAAAATGCATATTGATATGTTGTATTTTTGAAAACGGATATTGATATGTTGCCGATACGTAACACAGGAATATGGGCCTTGCATAGTTCAGTGTTGTCTCAATTTTTCTTGACGTAATTGTCTCATTTTTGTTTTCTCTTGTTTCTCTCTATAACAAACTATATCATGAAACTGACAAGTTGGTAGATGGTTAGAACACCCTTTGGCTTGGTTCTAAATCTTCGATAACCGCTGTAATTTATGATTACGGACTTTCGATCCCGCAGGACATGAGAATGGCAACAAGGCTGCACGTCATTCATATGATGGAATTTTTCTACAAGCCCTTACGGACTATGGAGAATCATTCGGAGAACTAAGTGTGCATTTTGACAGGAAATTGTATAATTGATGCAACATATATAAAAAATGTGATTCAAGTGGTATGTTTTTCTTTTGCGGGAAAAGCAGCATGTTGATTCATGAAGAATACTATTTCCAGTTATATGCATAAGGAATTAGATACTGCGCATTCATGTGAAATTTCAAACATTTAAGGAAGTAATTCTACATATAATAAGATTTTTTTATGAACCTATAATGTGTGTTAGTTACACACGTGCCTACTTAATAATAATAAGAGAAGGAGCACTGCTACATGGACGACATTTACCAGACAATACATGCACGACATGCGTATCATGACATTCATGGGCAAGTCTCAAAGAACAGCTAACGGCTGGATGAGCCATCGTTCCAATGTCGTTCAGCGCTGTATCGTAAAAGAAGGGATAGTAGAGATAGAGATGCTTGCTTGGTTTTCAAGATCACGCCACCAACATACATATATGTCTAGTCGAAAGAAAAAACATAACGGTCCAAATCTTTCCCTAATCTATATCTATATATCTATACCTCTATATCTATATCTATACCTCTATACCTCTCTCTATATATATATATCTATACCTACCCCTATTTTTTTTTACTAATAAACCAAGTATTGCTTCTGGTCGTCCGTCTAAAAAATTACCCTCGAAGTTGTTTTATATTACCCGCTATGCCATCCATAAGTGAACAACGCGGTTCGTATTTTTAAGTCACCGTCGTAGTAAGTGTTTTATACCTAAGATACCCAGCCTAAATCAAATGCGCACCGGTGGCGTATTGGCAGAAGGCTAGTACTTCCACTGGGAAGAGTAGGGATCGAACCCTGCTTCTATCGATTTTCTCACTTGTTTTTCTCACCCACCTCATCCCCCCCTGTATGTTTTCATGGGCCGGCCCGCGGGGCGTGGCGTCGCTGTTTTTTTCATTTCATTTTTTTATCTTTTCTGTTTTTTACTTCTTCTTTAAATAAATTCGAGATTGACAAATTTTAAAAATGTCTAGGAAATTTAAAAATGTTCAAAAAATCATAAATGTTTCGTTATTTCAAAAAACGTTGGTAATTTTACAAAAATGTTGGCAAATTATAAAACAAATCACAATTTGGAAAAACAATTGTCAGGAAATAAACCATGTTCTTGATTTTGAAAAAATGATAATGTATACAAAACATATTTGCGAATCTAAAAAAATATCCATGAAATTTTATAAAATTATCAAAAAATATTCACCTTTTCTGCGAATTTCAATTTTTTGCCCTAATTTAAAAAAAATCATTAATTCAAAAAATGTTCAGGAACTAAAAAACTATTCATGTGTTCAATAAATGTTCATCTAAAAAAATGTTTACGAATTTTTAAAAATGTTTTTTTAAATGTATGTCAATTGAAAAAACTTTTCACCATTTCAATAGTCTTTTATGTCTAGGTTTTGATTAGTTTTTGGAAAGTCTTTATATGTCTAGGCGTTGGGAGTAGTTCGTGGTAGATGAGATTTATTTTTAAAGTTTTAAACATTTTCTTGCGCTACACAATGACAAGTGTGTCATGCGGTGGCAAGCTCGTTGCATTGAGATTTACCATGTCGAATGCATTGTGATCACATGGACATCACATCCATCATCAGCGGGAGTCGGAAGAAAGATAAGTGGCAAAATGATGAGCCACTGTGTTAAAATAGAAGATACTGATATGTCGGGGTATTGAGTCATACTTATTCGACCAACGTGTAATTTTTGTATCTACCGTTGCAACGCACGGGCATGTTTGCTTATTTAATAATAAAGCAAATTGGGTTTCTGGTCGTCCGTCATTAAAACTGCCCCTAAAGTTGAAAAATATTACCCACCAATGCCACCGGTAAGTGAGAAAAACGTTTGGTTTTTATATTTTGTTTCGTCTGTGGACAGCATAGCTCAATAGCAACAGATCGCTTCTTATAAGACAATCATGCATGCAGCTCACTGGTTGGGGCCTTGACCTGCCGCGCTAGAGGTCCTGGGTTCGATCCTACTTCCCCCTTTTTTCTTCAAAAGATCAAATACTTTTTGAAGCTTTCATATCTTTCAAACCCTAACTCCAAATCTAACATGTCATATATGAAAATTCATCAGAAAAATGTGTAGATTCTAAATATGCTATTATCATTAAATTTTTCTAAATACATTCACGGTGCAAACTTAACTAATTACTTATATGAAATGCCTATTACATATGTTCTTATAGATTGGTTGTTTTTGGTGGAGCTACCCAATATGTTTGCAACCAAATCAAATCTTGAACTGAATTATGGTTGCAAACACACATTTATATATGCAAACACATATATGACAAAAAAAATGCTCTTATGCACATGCCATCATTGAATACTAAAATGTACTTCGCTATTTTTATTCTAATGTAATATTTTTTGGACATCACTGAGAAACAACATCAAATGCATAAAATATATACTGGCAACTAGGTAGATATTTGTGTTGTATAATGGATTCTAAACACCTTGAGTACACTTCAAAAATCATCATACGTTTAGGTTTTTCACAACACCACTTATCATGTTGCTTGTTGGCGTGGCATCATGAAAGATTTTAAGGGATTTGTTGTGTCGTCAAGTGTGTGTATGAGGGGTCATTTTTTTTCTCCCGTTGCAACGCACGGGCATGTTTGCTAGTACATTGTAAAACATATAGTAGTATGTTTGATTCAAAAGTAGATGAACAAAAAATGTCAAAATCTAGTTACGGAAAATGACAAAGGACTGCGCCTTTGTAGTCGAGCTATACTATATAGCTATACAGGGGGATACTGAAAATGCTTGAGGATGATCCTTTGTAATCGACCCAGAATACATATTTGAGCTGATCCTCAACAAAGTAAAAACAAAATACGAATTTCAGCATGGGGTCACATCCAGAAAGCTTGAGCAACAAAATCACCAGAACTACAGCTGAGAAACTCATAAAAGCCAGCTGGACGGTGCGCCACAGTCAGGAGCTCCCCGTCCTCGCCGTACCTGAGGCTGAACGTTGTCAGCCGAAGTCCATACTTCTTCAAGAGTGACCCTTCTCCCTGCAGGCGCTCAACGAGACAGTACATGCTGCCTTCACCCATGTAAACAAGCTTGGCGTCCATGTGCCTCCAGTCCGTGTCTTCAAGGAAGAGCTTCTCTCTGCCTACCTTCCACTCCGGTGGCTGCAGTCTGCTTGCGGCTGCAGATGTGACACTGCACGCACAAATGTGCCCATCTGCAACATCACTGGTTTCGACTTCGTCAGGGGGGAGGTGGAGCCCAACCCACGCGTCCAGCTCATAGTCGTAGTGGCCTTGGCCTTTGAAGGGCAGCATCCAGTTACCACAGCGCCTCCACCTGCCGCTCCCCGTGCCGTAGGTGTATGTGCCTGATTCCACTGGGTACTCACCGGCAGCCACGGACAAAAAGATGGTGCGGCCACGTGGGTGTACTGCATGTGCAATGATGCTCTGTGCATCGAACCGGAGCTCAGGTGGCCAGTTGCTCCAGCTCCAAGAGAAACCTGGGGAATCAGGCAATTGCCGCCAATCCCACTTCTGGTCACGGCTGCGATCTGCGGCCGTGAGGCAGTGGTCGTCGCGATTTGCAGCCAGGCAGTGCAAGCCTCCACTATAGTAATGCGCGTCTCCCTGCTCGAAAGCATCCGAGCATGATTCAATCATATACAACCTGTTTCTGACAGCCACGGCTAAGTTATAGCCGTTTCGTAGGCCACTTGGGAGAAGCCGCGCCACATTCAGCATGTCTGTCTTGGTGTCGTAGATGACGGTAACACCGTTGCCGCAGTCTTTGGGAAAGACAGATCTTCCCACGTGGGGATGAGGCCTGTGGCGATGATGCAGCTGCCTAGAGAAGCGAAGTGCGCGGGTCTACTGATATTTGGAAGCCCTATGCGGACGACAGGTTGCCCAGAGAGGGGCTGAAGGGTACCTGAAGAGCTGAAGTCGGCATCCAGGTTGTCGTCAATGTCCAGCTTGTGGACGCTATATCCTTTCTCGTGGTCATCTACCACTATGTAGAGATACTGCTTCGTCGCCGACCGATCCTGAGGGTTGGCTGTACGGCCAAACTGGCGATACCGACCCCACCCTGGCCACAAGGATCTGGCTGGCTCAGATTGGAGCCCCACGCGCCGCCACCTCCTTGGCGACCCGGACGGAGATCGGGAGAAAGCACCGGAGAACTGAGGGTGGGGGCGCCCGAGAACTGAAGAGGACCCCGTTCGATCTACAAGACCGGGAGGAGGCGCAGGCCTTTCGGACGAGGGAGGCCACCGTGCCGTAGACTCCATCGTCGCCTGTCCCGACAGAGATCGAGACGAGGAGGCAACGGAGATTTGAAAGAGAAGACGCCGTAGATCTGAAGATAGAGGCCGGTATGCTGCCACCGCCGCCATCGTAGTCTGAAGATAGAGACCGAGATGCGATGGAGGAGGTGGTCGAGATTCTCGAAGGAGGAAGAGACGGGGATCTCGGACAAAGGAAATATATAGAGCGTGACGTAGAGTAGAATTTATATGAAAACTATCTTTACCTTGTTTTTTTTGTCCCGATAGCTGTCACACGTGTGATGTATCGGGTGGTTGTGCCGCACGCCTCGTGTGGCATGGACAGGAACCCACCCGCACGACCGCGTCCGGGCGCGCAAAGCCACAACCCACACATCCGGTGTGTGGCAAACCCGCCCGCACGTCCGGGCCAGACGACCACGTTGCCCGCACGACCCAGCCGTCCCGGCCTCCTTTCGATCCCCAGTCCCGACTGCCGCCATCGTCTCCCATCTCTCGATCCCCTACCTCCATCGCCGGCCTTCTCTGGTTGCCATGGCAACAAGAGCAGATCCGTAGGGCCTTCCCGCCGCTAACCACACCCCCTCCCCCCAATCCCCCGCCCCCACTCCAACCCCGCCCTCCAAAGACGACCAGCTAAAAGCAGGTGAATCTCCGATCTCTTACTGCTTCTCATCCTTCTTCTGGGCGGAAATTGCAAATTTACCAACGAAGGTGGCGACTGGATCCACGCTATCGGGGTAAAACACTACATGGTTTTGTGTGTCTTCGCATTTGTCAAGCAGCATACACCAGATCTGTCATGTACCACATTAGAGTTAAGCTTAAGTTCTCAGTTCGCTTGGTGCAAGTAGTTGGTAATGAATGGATGTGTAAGAATCCCTAAAAAAGGGAGAGAAATGAGAAATTTGGAATAAAGGGGGTAGGAAAATTAGTTGCCACTTGTGTCTAACTGCAGTTGCCACCTATCGTTGTCGTTAACTGCCACCATGTTAACCTGTTGCTTGCTATTCTATTGTAGTGGATGTTGCCATCGAATGGAAAAGATAGCTGGCACCCAGATTTTAGAAAAGAGAGTGGATATGCATGTCCTACTTGCCATGATGTGTTGGTTGCCTACGCATGCAAATGTGATAAGACTGTCGTGTTATCTTCTACGTGCAAGCAGTAGAAGAATACAATTTTTGCGGATTGTTGATGCGTTCTTGTTCATGCAGTGATTGAGAACACATTGGCAGAAACAAAACGCGGAAAGAATGAATCACGAAGATGGCGCTGATCCTTGGGTTTCTCAAAGGCCAGAAACGCCCCCTTGGGATGCAGCAGAGTACAGTCTACTCATTTCTGCAGGGCCGTTGCTGCCACTACTAGAGCAGTACGCAGGCATTGGTATGATGCATGATAACAAAGAAAAGAACATTTGCCATGTTCGCGACGATGAAGATGACATTCTACTTATGTCCTACACTGTCATTTTTCGCAGGTTCTTATGACCAAAACACACTCAGGGGGGCGCCATGGCAAGTTCAGTCACAGGGCGCTAACACTGACAAATATACGGGCAGCCAACTTCAAGTAGCTAATGTGGCAAATCAAGGTAACGCATACGAAAAAGAAACATACTAGTGTGGACATGAAAAATAAACTTGCAAAGGATGGCAAAAGACTCACGAGTTATGTCGGGAAAAATGCAGAACCTTCATGCAGCACGTGGCATCAGGCGACACCCATGTACCTGCCATCGACGTCATACATAGGTGAGTCCACAAAAAGTGAAGTTGCGGACGGTGAATTAGCAGAAGAAGCCTAGTTGACAACTGCAATTGCCATGACTGAACAACTGCAGTTGCCATGACTGAACAACTGCAGTTGCCATCCCTGGACAACTGCAGTTGCCATCCCTGAACAAACTGCAGTTGCCATGCCTGGACAAACTGCAGTTGCCATGTATGATCAAAATGTGATTGCAATGTACAAACAACCGTGGATGGCAAGTGTGAACAAATCTGTGTGGCATGGTTGGACCACTACATGTTCCATGTTGAAGAAACTACAATTGCCATGCATTGACCAACAACTAACATGATTACAGGTTATTACGATGGTGCTACCTCGGCAAACGTCTCATGGCAAGCTTCACAGATTGCAGATAGAGCACGTCAATTTGGTGTGACCGACCACACAAGATGGGCACATGCGGCACAACAAGGCAAGGAAATTTGAACCACAAAACAGCACTGCATTTGTTTTTGTGGGAATAGCATGTGAGGAAAAGAAGATTTGTAGCAGTGATGGTGGAAAAAATCAAACAGAAAACGCTAACAAGTGGTCATGTGCAATGAGTCATATATTGTCTTCGGGATTTGCCAATTGCTAAAAGCATGTGTGCAGCACTGATGATTGATCGCATTTGCCTAGTGAGCTCAAGCCTAGAATACAAAGTTTTGATGCTAGAATATACTGGTTGCTATGTATTGATAGCAGTATTTGCCATGTATGTAGGACTGCAGCTGCCATGGATATAGAATCCAAGTTTTGGTACTGAAAGGAGCTGGTTGCCATGCATTGACAACATTAGTTGCCATGTTTGTTGGACTGTAGCTGCCATGACTAGAAAACTACAAATGCCATGTATGTCCACATGCAGACTCACGGCTTGCTGTTTGAATGATGTCATGCCAAATCACTTGCAGTTGATGTACTCTGTTACGATAAACATGTCATTCAAGCAAAATCTTACGCTCGTACCTGTTTTTTTATTACAGGGCCTTCAACTACAATCAACAGCGGCGCGGGGACATCTACTGCGAGGAGCTCTGAGCGCACGGAAGACGCGTTCCACCAGCCAACCAACAATCATGCCGTAAACAATGCCGAGTCAGAGTCGGAAATGGCAATCATTCCAGCAATGCCGACAAGCACACCTTTGAACACAAGCACTGGCAACACTCAAGTAATGAAACTGCTGCCGATACTGAAGTGAATGATGAAACTGATGGCGAAGCATAAGGAGATGAATATGGTGGGCAATCATAGATCATGGTACCTCAGCCACCGTACGTTGGGCAGAGATTTGAATCGTTCGTAGAAGCAAAGGAATTCTACCAGACATATGCAAAGTTCCATGGGTTTGCGGTCAACACTGAATACCATAGGAAAATTAAAAAAACTAACGAGTACAACAGAGGTGAGATGAGGTGCCATAAGGCACGAAGGAACAAGAAGGGGAAAGGTGTTGCGCCTGTCGTTCCGGAACGAAACAGAGGTATCATTCTCAAGACGGAATGCCATGTCCGGTGTAAGCTAAACGTAGATGGAGCACAATGGGTGGTCACTGAATATTTTGATGAGCACAACCACAAACTCATAAAGAAATTCGACCTGGTAAAATTTCTGACCGCCCACAGAGGATTCACCCTCCTCGAGAAGAAATTCATAAAGCTGCTACATGATTGTAACGTCGGTCCATCAAGAATGGTCCAGATACTATCACTCATCCACAGAAAAAAGGGACTCTGAGTAGCATGCACTACATACCAGCTGACGTCACAAACCTAAAGGCAAAGTACCATAGAGAGAGCAAGTTGGCTGATATAGAGGCCACAATGGCCTACTTCGATGAGAAAGCGAAGGAAGATCCATATTTCTTCTACAGGATAAGATTGGACGATGAGGACCGTGTCAGGAACATGTATTGGGTGGATGGTGCTGCAAGAAGAGCCTACAAACATTTCCAAGATTGCATTTCATTCGACGCGACATATCTCACTAATATGTACAAGATGCCATGCGCTCCATTCATAGGAACAAATAACCACAATCAGTCATTGCAGTTCGGATGCGGGCTCATTCGGAACGAAGACACGGATGGGTACGTTTGGCTGTTCAAGACCTTCTTGGAGTGCATGGATGGACTTGCTCCGGTGAACATAATAACAGAACAGGGTTTTAGCATGCGTGCAGGCATAGAGGAGGTCTTTCCGTTGGCAGTGCACACGCACTGCAGGTGGCACATTGTAAAGAAGGCTGAGGAGACGCTAGACCGTTCTTTGCTAACCGTCCAGAGCTGCACAAGGCATTCGAGCTGTGCGTGGACCACAACTTGACGGTGGAGGAGTTTGAAAGGAGCTGGATGGCCATGATTGAAACATATCAAGTCCAAGACAATGAGACTCTTGCTAGCCTGTGGGAGAAGCGAATGTACTGGGTGCCGGCCTACTTCATGTAGTGCTTCTTCCCGTTTCTGTAGACTAGGCAGCGCAGCGAAGGGTTCAATGCTGTTTTGAAGCGGTACATGAGCATTGGCAACTCATTGCTATAGTTTGCCAAGCAATACACAGCTTTGCAACAAAAAATACTGGGATCTGAGCTACAGCAAGAAGCAAACACCGCGCTAAAGCAGCCAAAATTGCTAACGTATTTACCGATGGAGAGGCAAATGAGCAAGATATACAC